ACTTTTTAATTTATATATATTTATAAAAAAATACAATACTTTATAATAACTTACTATTTCTTTCTTCATTTTCATCATCTGGGAATAAATCAACAACTGGATCATCATTTTTAGACTTTTCTTGTTTGTTTTCAGTCTGATCTTCAGTCTGTAAAGTAACTCATAAATGCATTCAAATAGTCTACAAATCCAAATTTTGATTTAAATAAAATAGTACCTTATCAGCATCAAATTTACTGATAGATGCCATAAACTCTAAGTGTTTATTTTGCTCATCCAACAATGCAACAGCCTGTTCAGAAGCTTGTAACTTTTGTTGTGTATTTGCTAATTCATCTCTTAGCCACGCATTTTCTTGACAAAGTCTACGGACCTGAGTTCTCAATTTTTGTTTTTCTGCTTCTACATTTTGAAGATGGGAAGCCAAAGCTAACATAACCTAATTAAAATTTGTTCTGTTATAATAATTTATAATTTTTTCTTTTGACAAAATTATCATAGATAGTATGATACAAAAGATAAAAAATAACAACAAAACCAATAGATTCATTGCAATTCATATAACACTGATGCATACACTGAATATATACATCTTGCTGTTAAAAAAAATATGTTATAGACATTAAGTAAAGCTATATTTAACACGTTCACTGCTACACTTATAATTCTAATCTGGTGCCACACACCATGTATCAGCGAATAACATAAGCGAGACAATAAAAGTATATGAAAAAACACAGGAAACAAAAACCAACTGAAAAGAATTTGTTGTTAATATGTTCTAAATGACCTGATAAATAATAATACAGTGCCTCTATGGCGAGTATTTTCAATATGCACTAGTGACGATTACGGATCCGCGGTGGCCTGGAGGGCCCTACTACCAACATAGACCTGTGATTGGCAGCAGAGGTCAACATGTTAAAAATAAAACATTAGAAATTATTGAAGTTTTAAAATATTACTAATTTTTTTATTATTCTTATGAAATTTACTATGTACAAATATCTCATTACTAATTAATCATCAAATTTATTTTAAAAAAACCTAATGCTTTTTTATTTAACCACTAACCATAGGTAATTATATCAGTGATGGGTAAACTAACATAAATATTAACTATAGTACATTTGTTTAAAGAGTGCACAATATACAATAAAATAAATAATAATTACTTACTACTGCTTTAAGGTTATAAACATATATTATGGCATAAGTTTACATTATGTATTAGTTATTACTTACATAATTTAATTGCATTAATTGTATTTATTGTATTTATAGACTAATTTGATAATATTAATATGAGAATAAAGATAACAAATAAGGTTATATTATAATTAATTAAAAGAACCCATTGTTTAAATTAGGTTGTCAGAGGTATCAAGGGTTTCGATTTCACCAGCTATTTTTTTTAAAATATATTTTGAAATATCCTACAAATTATTTTCATTAGAACTAAATATTATTTTTAGTATTCCTTCAAAATATTTATCAACAAATTACTTCATTTTAATGCATTTTAAGGTTTCAAGAGATGCAAGTAGTATAAGTAATTTTAATTTATAAATTTTAAAATCTTAACCTGTGCTTCTCCAAGACCTAATTCGGTCATATCTAAAGTTTTTTGAAGCATTGACTGTTTTTCTTCCGGTTGCATTGTATTTTGACCGGAAGGGTTATTAGATGCCATCAACTCATTTTTCAAGGCTTCCAGTCCTTGGGCAACAGTCTTAATACCAACCATCATTTCCTCTTGAGACATCACAGTCATCGTAACTAAATATAAAATATAATTATTTATTTAATTATACATAAATATTTCATACAATTTAATGAATACCTTCTATTTTTTTTTACATATTCATTTACTGTTTAGGTAATTATAATTAATGGACTACACTTGAAGTGTCAGTGAATTGGAATTTTGACAATTGAGCATAGACTTAACAGTTGAGGTGAGAATATCACCAAAAACAAAATTTTTACACATTTGCTAAGAATGTGATTTGACATTGATCACACAATATGCTGAATAAAGTAAATATTGACATGCTACCTATATTATGTTTTTAAATGAACAATAACTTTGTTGTCAGCCTTAGAATATATTCTTATAGATTTTAATTTTTAGTCAGTGTCACCTATAATTATTATTATTTCAGAAATATGCACATTAATATTTTAATTAATATAAATATAAACCAAATTTTCAAGGTGGTATTAATAGGCTAAATATCACGCATTACTATAAATAGTATAAATTCAAAGAATTTATATATGTGACTTAAAAATGGAGTTAGGCTTGTAGAAAACCAGTTCAAAATAAGATAAGGGGGGAGGGTCTTCTGAGGTAAGCCTTCCCCCCAACACCATCATAAGTGTCACTTTTTTTCCTATCTAACCAACAGCAGGGAGGTTCTGTATGAACAATACTACTCTTCTGCTGCCATAATTTATCATGAGTGTCACTTGAGTTTTGTAGCACAGGAAGTCCTGTAAGATCAAAGTTAAATATAACCATACAGTAAAAACCCTATTCATTAAAAAGAAAATAAGTAGATTCTTGTCATACATGGTACACCCATAATATTAATATATTATTTACATAATATATAATTATTGATTGGGGGACGGAGTAGCCAAGTAGATAATGCGTCGGTTGCAACACGCACCATCGCCGGTTCGAACCTCGTCACGGGCAGCACTTCTCTCTCAACCGGGCATGGCAGAAACCTATGGGTGCCCACTAGAAATTCTGCCAAACAAACACACACGTGTTCCATAACCCTACAGTCCCGAAACCCTACAGTACCACAACTTACAGCTAATGGCCTCAGTTGCCGAAGCTTAAAAAAAATTAATATTTATTATTTTACACATTGAACATCGTGAGTTTTTTTTTATGCAAGGATTTGGATTTCAACCAGGAGGGCCTAGCTAAAGAGAAATAAAAAAAAAGTTGTTAAAATGCCCCCTCCCTAGTTATAAGAAAGAAACACATAAAACATTACAAATATAAAAAAAGAAAGAAGCCAGATTATCTATCAAGACCACATAAGAACTTCTTTTTAAGGTTTAATTATTTTTAACTTATGTTGGATTCCCGATATAAACATTTGTTATCTTTGTCTCTCTTACAAACCCTAATGAAATATTGAACATTACTATATTAGTACAGAACCAAGCAATCTTGCCCTTAAAATCTATATCTTTATACCATAGATCGGAGGAAATATATTACATATTTTATCAAATATAGCTTGTACAATTAATTCTTAAAATTACAAATTTAACATGTTAAATAGATTAGATTTATCTACTTAAAATTGTTGTGATACTCATCCATAAATCAATTTACCTTATTTTTGAAAACTATTGGTTTGAAAATATTAATAATTCTTGTCCACAATACTTTCTATTTATGAACAGATTCACGTAGCTTGTAATTTATGTATCCATTCTAAACAAAATAAATATACACTTTACTTTAGTCAACAATAAATCGATACAAATATATTAGTATATTATTACATTTAGTTGCCACCCACTATTTGATAATATCAGAGTTTTTATGTAAATTTAATGAAAGAAACATTACAAACTAATTTATTCAAGTAACATAATCACATTTGTATTATTACTTATGACATTTGACTGAGAATTATCTAGAAAAAATCACCATACAAATTAATAGAATTGTCAGTGAATGATCATTCCTACATCATTATTAACTATTAATAGGTACCATTAAAACAAATTATTTTCCGGGTAAAAGTAGTAAAAAAATAACCGATTGAGTACATTTAAACGCTTTAGTAGCATAACAGCAAATACACATCCTGATGGAAAATGGCTAATCTATAAGTACGAAAAGAATATTATTGATTAAAATTAAATGGTTTTAATGTAAATTATTCCTTACTCGCACATTTCACACCAATGTTACAACTAAAGGTACACGTACCTTGTAGACAGTAGTTCTTCTGACATACAAGTAATCAGTAATCACACATTTGCGCGTAGAGCCATAGACATTTTAAGATATTACGAACAATATAATGAAAATTAACATTTAACAGGTGAATGAATTCAGAAAAACCTTTCACATATTATACAAGCATATCATATATATTGATATATCATATATATTAAATGGGAATAAAAATTAAATGTTGGCTGGTTTGTGAACAACTGTGGTATATGCATATGACATCATAATACCTGGCTTAGGGTCGTCCTTATCAGTTACTAGTTTACTACACAACTATCGATTATTGTTATCAGTACATATTTTAATAAAAAAATTAAAACATTTTTTGTGTGTGGACGTATACGTGTTAAAGTACGTGTAAGCATCGAACAATGGTTGTAATTAGTAATAGGTTCGGGATTAAATGGTTTCAACTTACGAGCTATATCATAACCGATATTACTCAGTATAAATGTATTTTTATTGAATTTATTATACGGTGGTGTACACGAAATTGTTGAAGTAGATCCAACGTGTTTGGTAACGAGTGGTAACTGGTAGGAAAGAACATAGACCTTATGTACTACTAGCCATGACTACTATTGTTCTGTGGTATAAACACACTGGTATGTCTAAGGTTTACCATGGATACCAACCAATCACAGCAAAGAATTTTGTACGTACACGGTACACATGAACTAGGGTTTCAATAGAAATTTTCAACCCGTGATCATGTTTCCTATTTTTCTTAAGGCTGTATATAATTATAATTTAGTAACAGACTAACAGACATTATTTTTCCCACCGTGTAAAACGTCATCGAAAAAATCGAATGTCGAAATGCCTTTAATTACTTTTCTATGTCTTGTATGGGTCAATGTAATTAAACTATTTTATTTAAATTCGTATTGTTGAGAATAATCGAAAGATCGCAATAGTCAGAACAAAATTTCCTATCGATATAATATCACATCTGTTGTAAACCACATTATACCAACATGAAGGTAGGTCTTCGATTTGTGTACATGATTTAAAATGAGTACTGTCAATAATAACCTTAAATTTACATCAACACTTTATACTATATAGGCTCTGTTTCTGTCGGTTCTGAATTTCTGATATACCTACAGACTACATAAGTACGTTTTACAAAAATTACAAATTGTCAATACGCTTATTTTAGTTAACAGTGTTAATACGCGTACGCTGTTCCCGTATTACCCGTATACATATTACGTGTGCTGTGTTTACTGGCTTTAGTAGTTACTATAGGTAATTTAGTTAACTTTTATTCATCAAATTGTTATCAATTATTTTCCGATATTTATTTCCAAATTCTATATTTTTTAAAACATTACGTAGATTTCCCATTATTTTGTATCTATTATAACTTATTTTACCGTTAGTAGTCTTGAATCTATCCTGTGGATGTAATTGTCGTACTATAAATTTGTCATCAGCTTGTTTGTATTCAATTATTAACTGAATTTCCGTCCATAATATTGTATCAAAGTATATATTGATAGTTATGGGTATATAAGTTAAAGGTAAGATTTCAATGTTACTAATTTATCACAAGTGTACCTATAATAATAATAAAAATAAATTCCAATTACAGTAAAATAATTTGACAGGTAGGTTATGAAGTAATTTAACTTGGTACCTATATAAATACTCAAGGATTATATAAATATATGAATGGTTCGTACTATTTTTCAATGACTAAACACAGCATTATAGCACAATAGTATGGCTTTTGTCCAACATGATCATAGGAAATTGAGTTTTGCTAATGTGGTTACACACTGTTTGGTTTTAATCACAGCGGTAGAAATCATACAGTAGTACAATTTGATCAAAATACATGATTTTATCCTAAAATAATCACTGCGGTTGTCATATATCATAGCATATTACAGTTGATTTAGATGGGTTTATTACCGTTTCAGCTATAACTGAACTGTGTGTTCACGCATTAAGAATATGGTTTGACTGCAGTATCACTGTGTCTAGATGCTGACCATTGTCCACACCTGTAGTTAAACCTTAACTTAAAAGTCCAATCTTAACTTCCAATCTACTTTAAAATAAGTTCTATTTATCTACATATTAGGTGTAGTATGAACTATTTTGTTCATACGACCAAGAACTACACACACTATACATGCTACATCGTTGTTCGGTATTCAACCTATTTATTACATATTTTGAACAAACGATATTTTTCAAAAATCAAACGGTGGTTTTAATTTTGTTTCGGTTATAGGTACAATATAGGAGTCTGTAACTTATAACACCCCACCTATTATTTGCGTTCTTTGTTCCAACTACTCTAAAGACTGTCCGCAGATAAATTCAACTGTTGTGAGTGACCAGCTTTACACTGCTTTTAAAATATTAATATATTATTTACTCTACCAAAAACTTTTGTTATTTAAAAAAAAAAAAGTATGCCTGTAATTTATTATATTTCCTTCTTATCGCTTTCCTTTAAATTTTGTGCTTGAGAATTTGAGAAAAAGTAAACTTCTATACCTACTGTCTACGCATTCGCAAAATTATCTATACTTCATTGTATTCATTAAATTTGCTTAAAATATAGTGTTAACTTTCCCATTATTTAAAATGGTATGAATCTTTGAAGGTGTGACAAGTTTTAAATAAATAAATTATGTTTGCTATGGAAGAAAACTTATTTTTACAGATTATACGTAAGCGTACATAATTATTAACTATATAACTTATTTTAGGGTGACTTTGTATAATTTTGGAAAATGGATAGAGGTGGAAGAGGTATAAGAAGAGCTCGAGGTGGTCGTCCATTCATTAGAGGTTTTTATCGTGGTAGAACACCAAATAGAAGACGTCCTATGGGAAGTAGATCAAGACCTTCTAGCTCTAGAGACAGGTATGAATCTTCATACAATGATAATGATCGAAGTGATTCACGTGAAAGATCATGGGATTCTAAATCAGGCACTGACAAAGATGTCTCAAAAGAAAAACATGATGGAGATGATAATTCACCAATCAGCAGAAGTAAATGGGATAAAGATGAAGACCCTAGTGAAAAAAATGATGAACGGTACTCAGATAAAAAAGGTTATTATGATGCAAAGTATTATAGACGTGCAACTGGACACCCACATAGAGGTTACAGACGGCCATACCAAAATAATTATTGGGATAGAAGTGATCGTGGAAGACATCACTCACCACAAAGTCAATATCGTGTAAGACCCTATAATTCCCCTTCTAGGCATAGACGTTATTCACGTTCTCCTGATAGACGTCGATCACCAAGTAGATATCGATCTAAATCACGATCTCGATCCCATTCACATTCTCCAAGCAGATCCAGGCGCTACACTTCTCCAAAACTTAGATCCCCTAAAAGAAGATCGCCATCACGACGGCCTAGGTCACCTAATACACAAGATCAGTCCATAGAAAAAACTCAAGCAGTAAAGAGTCATTCTGATGATGAAAATAATTCTGATGATTTTGTTGAAAAGTTAAAAGCCTCAAAAGGTTCTAAAACACCAGGCAGAATGGAGTATACAGAAAAAAGTGATGATGAATATTGGATTGAAATTAATAAAAGTGATTCTAAAGATACAAAAGATACTAAAAAGTCCAACAGACCAGAATATTCTTCCAAAGGCTCTAAGACTCCAGGACGATCAGAAATTTCTAGTAATGATAAAGATGAGCATTGGACAAAATCTCAAACTCCCAAGACTTCAACTAAAAATCTATATTCTAATAGTTGGGATGATTCTCCTATTAGAGAGAAATCTATTCCTAAGGCACTAAAAACACCTGGTAGAAAAGATTATTCCTCTAAAGATGATGATTACTGGATAAATTCTCCACCTACTGATGCTAAAAAAGACCGTTCTTCTAATGACGTATATTCAAACAAAACAGTTAATAAAGATACTACAACCATGTATGTTCATGAATTAAGTTCATCTGATTCTGAGCCAGAAAAAAAAGTTAATAAGAGAGCCAGGTCTATGTCATTAACTAACTCTGATAAAAGTGATACTCCACCGTTAAATACTGAACAGTCTAATAAATTAGGAAATCGATATTCTCAAGCTCCGTCTTCATCTTCCAGAGTGCCAAATTCTATTTTAAAGGAACCACCACCTCCTACACTACCTGCTACCCCCAACAATTTACCATTATATAGTTCACAATGGCCTGGAATACAAAATTCTGCTACTCCATATTCATCAACTACAAACTATGTTCAACCTCAACCTTCACAATTCACAGCTTACCAACAACGACAAACAGTTCCTGTAAGTACTATTAATAATGCAAATTTATAAGATAGATATAACTTTGATGCAAGTCAAAATATTGTACATTTCTATCGCAGTTAATTGACTTACCTACTCCAGGATTTTGGATGATATAATATTTAGGTGGTACCTATTTATATACCTTAAGAAAAAAAATTAGAAAATGTATGTTTGCTAATGGTAAGAGTTATAAATAATTTGGCAATAATTTGAAAAAAAAATCTTGAAAGCCGTGGATTACCAACATGTTTTGAATAACAATAATAGTATTCAGATTTAAAGTTCAAATTAATATGTAAGTTTATTATAAATATTGAAGTAACCAGATAGTTGAAGAGACATAATAAAATTGTTCTTGACCACAAACTTAAGTATCTAAAACTTATTAAAAGTATATTATCTTATTATTCTATAAATACATTTCAATTTCTCAAAATCTAGGTTCAAAATGCTCAGTGGTACCAACCAGGTTACCAGCAATATGGAACACCATTCCCACAATTTCAACAATATGATCAAAAATCTGTTGCTTATAATCCAGTACATACTAATCTTGAACCAGTTGAAGTAAGTGCTCAGTAAACATTTTTTTAAACTTATTATGTTTAATGTGATTATAATTATAGGGTTATCAATCTACCAATCAAGGATTGTATAATATAGATTTGAAAAGTGTTGTAGATATAACAAAACCCCCTCCCAACATTACACCGATTACACCAGGTATGTTTGTGGTCTTAATAAAATTAATATTAATTTGTATTCATTTATTATCCACTAAATTATAAAGCTAATTTCTATCAATTAATAATTGTTCTATTATGTTATAAATAATATTTTTCTTATATTGTGGGTTATAAATTTATAATACTACTTTAAATTAAATTACAGAAATGACTACTAATAATTAACAAACTTAAACACTGTTATATAAAGTTTACAAAATAAAATAGTCTTATACATTTTATTAAATAGTGACATGTAATAATAATAATAATGAAAAAGATTAGAAATATTGTTCAAAACTATGTAATAATATATTTTACTGATTATGTTAACTATAGTACCTGATACACAAACTAAAAGTTCTCAGGATAGCATTTTTGAAATGCAACGTGAAACATATGTTACAAAACTTTTTAGTTTAAAAAAAGAACTTGAGACATTACAAATTCAGTATGATACATTTAAGTTAGATAATACAGATGGTCGTCATAATACTGAATTGAAAAAAAATAGAAAAGCACAGGTATTATTTAATTTTAATAGCATGTTTGGAGTGTCTAATATTATGTAATATTAAATTCAACAATATTATTTTTAATGCACTAACTAATGTATAACAAAATTATATGTTATTTATTTATTTTAGGATGATGTAAATGGAAAAATTAAGGGTGTAAATAATATTCTTGAAGTATTAAATACAATGATTCCAAAAGACTCATTAAAAGAAACTAAAAAAGTCGAACCTAAAAAATTAGTAATTTCTATAAATACAGAATATTTATTTTGATATTTTACTAACTTATTTTATTTTAGACAACAGAATCCGAGTATGTGAAAATCCCTACTGAAACTGTACAACAAGATGTAGTTTCAAATATACGTAAGAATCGACATCGCAGTACTTCGTCATCTTCATTGGAACTAAAAAAAAAAAGGAATAAATCAATTAAATCAAAAAAATCTTCTAAAGTACACTCTTCCTCAGAAGAAGAAACTGATTCTAAGAAATCATACAAATCTAAAGAGTTAATTGATACAAGTAAAAAAACAAAACGTATTGAGAAACTACCTCAATTCAATCATGTTTATTGTGATTCATGTATTCATTGGTGTCAGCCATGTAATATTTTTCCAAAAACTGCAAAGGAATATTTAACACATTTGCACAGTGAATCCCATAGCAAAACTCTGGAGGTTTGTAACATCTTTTTTATTTATATTAGTAATGTTTTTAAATATAAAATAAAATAATAATATATATGAAAATCTATTTTTTATAGGAATTAAATGTTGTTGAATTACCTTGGCATGATACTCAAACTGAACCTACCCAACCTGAAAAAAATCCCGAACTACCAAATAAACGAGTACCTATCAAAGGTAGGTATTTTATTGTTCTGGATTGATAATATGCAGTATGAAGACCAAAACCACCAAACAAAATAATTTCTGCATAGTGTTTAAACTGAAAACTTATAAGATCACATTAATCATTGTTATGTTTAAAATTTTAAAGTGATACAATTCTAATAATAATTTATTCATATAAATGTAAGAATGAAAAAAGTATTGTCCGTACTTAAAAACTAAAGATTTAGGACAAAAATAATATATTAAGTTGTGTAACAATATTTAATGATAATCATATTAAAAAAAAAAAAAAATAGAATTATTAATATGTTAAGTATGTTATTTTACTTTACAGGTTTGGAATTTTTTATTGGAACACAAGCTTGGTATTGCAAACTGTGTGACACTTGGATTGGAGATCTTCATTGTGCTTCAGCACATTTTAAATCTAAACAACATAATGATTTATATGCGGTAATTATATTATATATTTATATTTATATTCATATAAATTATTATCATAATCAGTACTACAGCCTTGGCCACTTAAACTAATCATTCCCCTATAACTATATATTTTTTATACTTAACTAATTAATTCTCAGCATCATATTCTTTTACTAAAATTTGAAAAGTCTCCTCTAGGCCCTAACTTATTTGACTTAAGGAAATGGTTCCATTTAAAATATATGTCTAATTTTGTCTATGCTTATAGTATTATAATAAATCAAATTCTTATAGTATTATAATAAATCAAATGCTTATAGTATTATAATAAATCAAATTCTTATAGTAAATTTCATAATATTTGTAACTATAGGTAGAAAAGCTAAATTTGTTATATCATTACTATTTTAACAAAAACTTTAGTCTTTAAAAAATATTAGGTATTGAGCTTACTATCTTAACCTAATGTAGGTGAATTAGAATTAGTTTTCATAGTTTAGATTTCCGTTTAAATAATTATTTATATTAAAAGTAATGTCAATTAATAAAATCTTTGAACTAAAAAAATTAATAAATTATTTTATTTTGTTAGGAACTTATAGCGAAGCAACCAAATTGGGAAATTGATTGGCTTACAAAAAGAACTCGTGCTTTTGAAAAGTCCTTATCACAAGCAAGTGCAATTAAAGAAAATAAATCTAAAGAAAACGTTGCTGAACCCAAGGTTGAAAAGTCTTTTTTTGAGAAGGAGCCTAGAAAAGAGAGGGAAAAAGAAAAACTGCGTGAAAGAGATAGAGAAAAAGATCGAGATAAATATAAAAAAGAATTTAGTCGAAAAACAGATTTAAAAAGTCAGTTAAGTCCTGACAAAGAGATTAATGATGCAAATAATGTATCTTTATCAGATTGGATGAAGCCAGTTGATTTACCTGTGGAAAAAAGTATGATTACTTTAAAGGAATCTGTGCAGAAATCTAAAGACAGATTGCATAAAAATAAAACTGATGAAATCGATGAATCCCGTAGATCTGGCCTATCTAATGTAAATGTAGTAAAAAAGCAACGACTCGAAGAACCAAAGCCACAAATTGTGTATGAAAAGAAAGATGAAAGTTTTAATTTATCTCACCGTACTAGCAGAATAAAATTACCTTTTATTGGAAAAATGCCATTTGCAAAACCAATTGGTAAAAAAACAAATTCATCTGCTAAAGATATACCTAGTTTTACTGTTGAAAGTACAACTAATGAACCTAAAGAAAACTTGATGGAATCTGTGGCTATTCAAAAAATGTTAATAGAAAAAATGATCACTGCAGCAAATGAAAAAAAGGTAAAGTAACAAAAATAATTTGATCTACAAAAAAAAATTCAAAATTAGTCATACTAATGATAATATTTTTAAACGTTCTCATTTAGATACTGTTCTATTTTAGATGAATATGTGTTTTCTTTAATTATAGATTATTTTATTCATTTAAAACACAGCAATAGCATTAATATTTAAATCAATTTGCCTTTATATAATCTTTAAAATAATCTATAATCCGAAATGTTAATTTTATTTCATAATGTATACTTAATGCTAATACAGTATTACTGTTAACCACTAAATTTACCATAATATTAGTTGTACACTTACAAATTTTTTTTAAGAATTCTTTATCGTGGTCTTTTAACTTTCCAACCCTAGAAGTTAAAATGAGGTTAAGACAGCTGGCAATCTGTGCCTTTCACTGCGATAATTATCTTCAAGATGTGCATTTCCGCATCCCACCACATTCTTTTAATGATCGGATAAAAAAAGCGATTTTGGTAGTTTAGGTTGACGTGGCTATAACCAATATAATTCAATATCGTGCAATCTAGCCACTCATCTGAATATATCACAGACCCGGCTGCCGTTTTGTATTAAAAAATATGAATTTAAGTACTTTTATCCCGCTATTCAACAAAAATGTGTCTACGATAGATCCTTATTCCGAGGCCAAAAGCAAAGACTCAAATATTTAGTTATGCCTATTATTTTCAATGGCTGAATGGCTATATTTTAATATTTCTTCTTGAGTGGTATCGACTTTTATACTGTGTTATTGGTAAACCGTGAGTAGATTGCTCAAAAGTGGCACTAGACTGTATTAGCACTCTTCATAATAACTCATATTTTCTGTTCCCCACCACTTCTTGTCAATAAACAATTTTCATAATCAGTAAAAACAAGCAAAACATTTTTTATTAAATATATTATTAAAAAATTGAACCACATTTTTAAAAATGTATAAAAAATTTTCAGATTGAAAAGCATATATTACCTGTTGACATGGATATAGATGATGATAATGAAAACGATGATGGTATTGTAAGTTCAGAAACTGATTTAATTGAAAAACAACTGAACCGTTCACAGTCAGGAAATCAAATACACGAGATGTATAGTCAACCACATACTACAAATGCATTACCTCAAGATTTAAGTACTGCATTGAACATGATTTTTCCTTGCAGTGAAGCTTCTCCGGTAGTACCTTCTATAAACACACCAGTTAGTCCTCAAGTTCATAATCCATTAATTCATCAAAATTACAATATGCCATATGGTGTACCAAATAATTTAAGTATTTCGCCTGAAAGAAAGAAGAAAAAAAATGCTCCATCTCAACGAAAACGTAGACACATGAAGAAAATTATGGGTAAAGAAGGAGAACTTACTAAAGATGAGTATGTTGAAGATGATGATGATAAATTAGAAGACCCAATTATACAGGGACCTAAAGAAGAAAATAATAAAACATCAAATGGCAATGAATCTGATGGAGATGAACTTGCTATGCTTGGTATTGATGCTGAGGATATGGCTGCACAATATTATTGAAAAGTATTGGTTTTATAATGTGACAGTTCCTTTGTATATATACATGTATTATATATCAATTTTAATTTTAAAACTACCTTTCTAAATAGTTTTACTGATATTTTGCTTGAACAAATTTTAGATAGGTAGAATGTGAAAGTATATTCATAAATATTATAAAAATAATATGTACAGACAATTAATGACTTCTAGGTACTATTCAAAATGGTAAAATTAAATAGTACTATTATCCCAACTGTTAATGCATCATTTGGTGTATTAATTTGATCATTAAATGTTATTTAAAGTGTTTTATTTATAACAAATAAAAAAATTGAATTTTCATTTTAGATTTTATGCAGCATGGAGAAGCTATACATAATAATGAGGTTTTGAAAAACAATTTTTTTTAGTTGTAAACATGTTCAAATTAAATATCAATTTTCCCAATTGTTGTTGCCAGATTAGCCTAACCTAACCTTTCAAAGCCATCCTGAAATATTCGGTACCCAATATCAAGAAGCTATTAAAAAAATGTATGTCCATGAATAATACTAAATGGATATGTGAAAGATGCTGCCCTGGAGCAAAAGCTCATTTTTCACCTATGCTAATCCCACCTTACTGGTAGAAGTATTTAAATAAATATCAAAGAAAACAGAAAAATACTATAAAATCTTAAACACCACAAGTTTTATTAATTTAGAAACAAAAGAATTTCGATGAGATATAATAATCGTAACATATTTAAGTACTCAGAAAAAAGTATTAAAATTCATATTTTCAGATACTATTACATTTTATGTTAACACCCACTTAACATTTATTTCGGACATTATATTTTTTGCAGTCTTTATTTATATAACTATTATATCAATTAAGAAATAACATATTATTATAAGTCTGAAATAAATTCTATAGTGCCGTAAAGACATAGCCCTCCCTCGATTAATCTTGACCATGTTTATTTTATTCTATCATAACATAACATATCACATAAAAAAAGGAAAGTACAATAGACATTTTTTAGAGGGGCTTTGTCCCCCTCCAAATAAAAATTCCTAACAACACAATTGCTTAGTAGAAAATACATAAAGGGGAATTTTATTAAAGGGCAATAACTCTCACTATTTATATTTGTATATTGGTAGCAATCTTGTAAGGTACTCAAATATATATTTTTTACAAATACGTATTCCCACTAGGTTTTGGTATTTTTTATTCATTAAATAATAGTTTTAAATTAAATATGATTTCCCACCCTCACATCCAACCATTCCAAAACACAATAAGTACCAGGCAAGAAAATGTAATCTGATTTAATTCCTACTCATTGATTTGATTACAAAATAAAAGTAATCTTTACAAGATTGATAACCGCAAATAGTATTAGAGATTTGAGGGTCCATAAGCCCTACCTACTCAATGAAACATATTTTGTAGAAGTAATAAACACCTAAAAAAATGTCCAATGTAACAAAAGGTGAAACAAATAACCACACATTTTTTCAAATGTACTATTTCATCTACTTATAGTTTGCCTAAATTATATTTATAACTAGCTGATCCCGTGCACTTTGTTACCCATTAAAAATCCCAACTCTATATGAGACTATGGTGATGATGCAAGCAGTATATTATTATGCCTACCTGCTGTGGATTGCGGACCCCGCTTGATGAGTACTTTGTATAAATAATATGTTCTATTTTTATTGCAGACACGCCGATGAGCGGCTATAAGTGCAACTCAGCCACCTTGGTAGACAATGTGCAAAAATTCAATTGAATGCATGCTTATACCTGATCTGCCTGATGAACCACTGCAGGCAACCAATAAACAAAAAAAAATACCAATTTCTACTAAATATATTAATATTTCTCCTATAACCAATAGTAACCATACATAAACAAATATTTCCGTCGTAAATCTTTAAATCCCTGATGGAGCAACTCCCCGGGTCGGACCTATCGGTTGCAATTATGAATCTAAACTATCCAGGGTGTCACCCAAACGCATACAAAAAAATTCATTCAAATCGGTCTAGCCATTTTTTTGAGGAGTTCAGTGACATACACAGTACACACGTACAGTAGAATTATATACAGATAAACATTATGCATCACATGATGTTTAAATTGAATTTATTACTGCATGGCTTCAGAGCTACAAGTAATAACAGAATACTGAATAATATACCTAATTATATTATGGGCCCCCACACGAACATGTTCAGTGGGGCCCATTATCTTCTTGAAGCATAAAATAAAAATAAAACAAATTTTTATTCACTTTTACAACTTATAAACAATAATCATACAAATTTTGAATATCAAAAACTGTATTGCAGTGTAAGTATCTAGATACAATTTAAAGAAACAAATGTTTTAAGTACCTTATACCATAACATAAAGTAAGTAAGACAGTAAACATATCCATGTCTATTATATATGATAGATAAATCAGTCATTAGGTAAAAAAATAAATTTTTGATGTTTAAAAGATATTAGTAAAATTAATATAGTTAATTTTTTAGTTCTAAAATAAGTCTAAATGAGACAACTATATTAATTCTAAATTAATATTTTTTAAATACACTTTTAAGCCTGTCTTTTATTGGTATTAAAATGGCATATCAGATATATAAAATACCTATTATTTGTAAAAGATATAATGGTATGACTACTAATTGGTATAGGTATTTAAATATTTCTGTACCAATATGAGACTGATTTTTATGTTTACCATTATTGATTAATAAGTCTACTTATTTATAAACACATTAAATAAACTTATTTTAATATGCACAAATAAATAATAATTGTTAGTTAAATATTTTAAACTATAATTATATTGAATAAGCTTACTTGGGGTGGGTTTAGTCCTTAACTTAGTGGTCAAGAGACATAATAACTTCATAAGATTATAACAATTATATACAATAATATGGAGAGTAGATAAAAAAATGGCAACAAACAAAATATTGTATCCAACAATTTCAATTATTGATTTCTTGGTAATTCTTACCAAAGAAAAAAGTCCTGTCATAAAGAACCAAGGGCCAAGGCAACCAATCAATGAAAATACATTACTATGAAACCATGCTGATTTTACTCAGATATAAGTGGTTAACTGTGGGGATGGGGGAATCAAAGCTTTGGTCTTGTTTAGGACATGACAAACTCGATGATCAGACATGATTCTTGTGGACACAACAAAGTGTTTAAATGCTATGATGTTTGCTGCATGAACTATGGCTGATGATTAAAAGTTTGATGATACATATTTACAATTGCTTATAACTTGAAAGTATCTTTATGCTTCTTTCGCCAGACTCTGGTGGCAATATTTTTTTTTTTTTAGTTTGCTTATACAATCTACACAATATTTAGTATAATAAACATAATAGATGGTTTGAAGGAAGACAAAACATAACAGAGGGATTTGAGTAGAGAAGTCGCCCACTGATGACACTGGCTTTTTTTCCTTTCTTTTAATGGAGGGTTATTCGAGGAGTAGGTTGCATCACCATTTCCTCTTAAGTCTTTTTGGTGGGTTTTCAGACATTAGGATGGAAAGATTTTTCGCAAGAGTGTTAGGATGTTCGTGAAGTGATTTGTGGTAGCGTTTATAGAATTGTTGGATTTTTTTGCTGAACCCCAAATTTGGACCCCATAAGGTCCATAGCAGCTTTTGTAAAGCATTAACTTGGTACTGATTGAGAGTTTGGACTTAGTGTTTAAGAAGTAGTTAAGGGAATGAAGGCGAGAGTTTAGCTTAATTTTGGTGGTGTGGATACGGTGATTCCACGTTAATCTTTTGTCAAAGTTTACACCAAGGTATTTTGTGGTAACTGAGGTGAGAATTCGGATGTTAAAAGTGATTTGAGGACATATGCCTTGTTTAAGTGTGAAATTTGTGTGACAGGATTTAGATTTGTTAATTATTACTTTCCAGTTTTTACACCAGGTTTCAATTAGAGTTAGGTAGAATTGGAGCATGTTTTAAGCTGTGAATGGATTTTTGTGAGTTGAAATAATCGCTTTGTCATCAGTGTATTCTGCAACAAAGATATTAGGGGAAGTTGGCTGGTCCGCAATAAATATGTTGAATAGCAGAGGGGCTGCGATTAGGTGGCAATACTTAAACTTTTAATTTGGTTGCTAGAATTCTTACACATTATATACGCTTGCTTAAATATCTATTGTATAGCTAGGGGGTAATATGTTAATTTTAAACTTAAAAAGTTATCATAGCTCGCTCACAAAATTTATTGAACGCTTATGGATTCCAACAAAACATATCCAAGGATGTAAATTCTGGTGCAGTTGTTATTAAGCAATTGAAAAGTAAATGTATATTATTTCACAGGAAGCTTGGTAATTATTAAGTGAGATGTTTTAACAGTAAACTCTTAAATAATTATATTAATTAATTTGTAAGATATTATGCATTTATTTTCTTATTTAGGGACCAATGTTCAACAGAACAATATTGTTACTGATGAATTTTTTTAACCAAAAAGTAATGGATAAAAAGGTTATCGAGGGCAACCAATTTAATTTATATTTCCCGGGCCAAAAAATACCAATAATAAGCTTAAGCCAATTTATTTTATTAAGTTAAATAAATACACAAAATAGTTACTGTTTTTCTCATATAATGGTGACAAAATAATATAAAAGTATGTATTTAAATGTATTCATAATGATTAAATTATAATTGATTAGGTAAAACATTGAATTAAATAAAAAGAAAAAGAAATAGTAAAAAATGATCAAACCATTCAACCCGATGTTACAGAACGCACAAATTCTTCATAATTTATATTTCCTAAAGAATCTTCTTGTCCAGTTAATAACTGTTCAACTTCTTCATCAGTAAGCTTTTCTCCTACATAAGTATAAACATTAGATTAATAAAAAGCAAATAATATCATTCAATTATTTACTGACCAAGTGTGGTAAGTAAGTGGCGTAATTCTGCAGATGATATAAATCCATTTCCATCTTTGTCAAAATGTCGTAATCCTTCATTAAAATCATCAGCTGTATTTGAGGAACGATTTTTAGATATAGCTTGATAAATGGGAAAAAACACATCAAATGGAATGCGTTCATCTTTAAAAAAAAATGTTCACTTAACTCATGTTATCAACATATTGATATTTATTATATACATTTTCTAAATCATACCAGTTTTATGCTGTTGTGTAAACTTCTTTACATCTGACTCTGTAGGATTTTGACCTAATGCGCGAAGAGCATTACCTATATGTGATATGTGTATTTTATTATCACCTCTATTATCAAACAATTGAAATGCTTCTTCCATTTCTAAAAAAAATGTAATATAATATTAATATGTTAAGACAGCATAAATGTGGAATTAGAATAAGCTATCAACCTCAAAAATACTTCAAAACATATTGATTAATTAAATAAGTTTTGAGAATCAGCCAGTATAAAAGATACAGATAATACAATAGGTTTTGTTTTGTTTAAAAAAAAAAATGAATTGCACATAATAAAAAATAAAAAGACTCCCCCCTAAAAGGGTTTTTTTCCATAAATTAAGGTATACTATCATATGACACCGGACCTGCCATTAAGACATCTAAAAAGGACCATTGCGTTAAATTATTTATTTCCTTAAAACTATGGGTAAATAGCTCAAAAAAAGTGTCAAAAATATATGACCATATAATATGGAAAATGTTAATATACATATTTTGTGAAAATTTCAAATGTCTACGGTCCTATCTTTTTCTATCTGCAAAATATTGATGTCAAATAATCAAATGCGTTCACTAGGTTGTTCATTTAATTTTTAAATATTTCTATAATTTAACAATATATTTATTAAATGACATATATAAATAGATCGTCTAAAAAATCGTTCAAATTCATTAAAATATAAACGTCGTTCAAGCTCAAATTAATAAAAAGAGCAACTTTCACGTATCATTAACTAAATATCAACGTAAACGTTTGAACATGAGTTCATGAATGACACTGTCCAGAATGTTGATGACAGATAGAAAAAAAAACACAGAATCTAAATAATTATTCGGTGACCAGTTATAAGTGTAACCAGACACTTATCTAAAATTAAGCCTGTAACATACTCTTTTAAGGTGTTTTCTATAGTATATTTTATACTTTTGTAATCTCAATTGATTATGGCAAGCTATTGGTATCTTACATGGTTATGTCTTTATGTGTGTGTTGAATATGTACGGATACGTCTATCAATATAAAACCCAGACTTACCTTATATTTTTAAGTACCTATATACCACATCTTTTTTTTTAATATTCAAATACCAATTATAAAATGTAAGTTTAATATATAAAATAAACAAAAAAAGACTAATGCCTGAACTTCTAGTTTTATGAAAGGCTATATTTTAAATGGTAATTAGGAAACATGCAAACTCTTTGAAGTTCCTAACCCTAGAATCTATGATTAAATTACGACTCATAAATAATAAAATAGGTAACTCTTTCTTAGATCTATATCATTAATATTGAAACTACTAATTCTAGCTATTATTACCTACTTACTATAAATACTTTATTCAAGTGGAAACGTTCTTAGTGGAGGTCATTCACCTGTCACTATTGTCCATTACCAAGTCTATAATTTGTATGCCTAATGTATAGTTAAGCCCTTTATACTAGTCAACCACCAAGTATGTTTCCTTAATAGGTATATAAAAAAATCATTTACCTGCTAATTGATCTTCTGAATCAGCAATCTGAAAATTAAAACATTGCACAAACATTTTAATAACAAAACATGTTTTTAGTATAGAAAAAATACATTGAAACTTCTGAGTCCACGCTTCTTATTTTACCAGCTAAAATAGTAGAATAAACGACACAACCGTAATAGACATTTTTCAAGTCATACACTAAGTGTTATTATTTCTTATTTCACCAAGATTTGATTTCCTTTCTTGCCATATAACAAGTTACATGGGTAACAATTTGTTTTATGCATGGCTGCAAATTTCAATTTGCATGAATGTGAACTAAATATCTAATGATAACTAATTAAATAGACATATGGGCATTTAGTGACCAGTGATATATTTATTACATTTTAATAATATATTATATTCTTTTTTTACTAAAGGTTAGTTTATTAAGTAATGCAATGGACCATACTGCTATTCAAATATTCAATTTGGTTTAAAATAATAACATGAAAAAAACTGATAATATTAAAGATATTTTTAATACCTAAGAAGAAAGTTATAACTTTAACAAAATATTAGGATGAGGGTATTAAGACTCCAAATAAGATAAATAAACGGTTAACTAATGAGCAGAGGTTCCTAGATTCCTAGGTCCTAACCTAGAATAGAAATCCAAATACCAAAATCCAGAGTGTGGAAAGTTCACTAAAAAAATGAATTCGTTCACATTCACGTTCAGTACTGAAAAAAGTAGCTCTTGTTTTTTTATAAATGAATGAGTTCACTAGGTCATTAATTTAATTTTTTACTATAGGAATTGAAATAAGAAAATATAATATAATCGAACACTGCTCAAATCTAAGTATGTAGCTAGGTAAAATAATCGAACACTGACCTACTCATCGTAACAATAAAAAATATAAATATAATAATATTAAGCACTATACATTTAGTAATCCTTGCAAACAATTATAAGATAAATTACTTTTAACCAAGTAATGTATTCATATACCATTTATATATAAATTAGTTTTGGAAATACATACCGATTTGCTCATAGTGGACTTTTGATTTCAGTTTGAAAATTAAATTTTAAAAAAAGCAATTAGTTTTAATTATAACGTCGTCACTATTATATTATACGTTAATAATTAAAGACAAACTCGATTCTAAATTTCTAAATAGGTATCTACTATGAGTAGGTAAATTAAGATTTGACTGATTAGAGTCCGATAATTCCACCAACACCTACGATAACAAACTTAAAAACCGAAATCAACTTTAAACTATAAAGCCAAAGCCTGATTTCTGAATGCGAATTACTATCAATCAGCAATCGCGTACCTTTATCGGTTAACTTAGAAATAGTAAAATATAATAAATACCACAGCTGAACTTACTCTATAATATGATAACATTTATACATATATATATATATATATATGTAATAACATCATATTGAGTTTAATCACCGCTTTAGATAGTATTATCTTAAGAGGACGCTATATCCGCATGTGTTGTCTTATAAGAGCGTAACATCAAATTGTACGTTCAGCAGATCACGTTTAGCTCAATTAGCTTAAAAATTAGAGCGAAATGGCCTCTTATTAAAATTAAAGGTAAGATTATTAAGGTGGGCTTCTCATGAGTTTTTATTATATTTTAATTTTAAAGAGAGTTATGACTTATGAGTATTTTAAGTTGTTCAAACAATTTACAATTTTTAAATACTTATAACTCTCTTCAAAATTGAAATATAATAAAAAGCCCATTAGAAGCCCTCCGTAAAAATCTTACATTTAATTTTAATAAGAGGTCAATTCACTTTAATTTGTAAGCTAACTGAGCTAAACGTGATCTGGTCGTAAAATTTGATAATAATATGTTACGTGTAAATTTTTTTTTAGAAATGTTTTTTTGAAATTACATAAAATTATATAAAAATAATATTTTCCAAAAAGTCAAAACTTTCGAAATAATGAGAAAACTCTTTTTTCCACCAGTTTTCTCGCTGATCTACTGTTACTTTGAATCGAGTAACTCGTCCAAATTCTGGTGGATATACCTAGTATAATATATTATACTTTTAGGTAAAATAATTTTACAAATACGATATTTTATAATACTTTAGTACAGCGTTTCTCAAAGTGTGGGTCGCGACCCACTAGTGGGTCGTCAGTCAATTTTTGGTGGGTCGGGAAATTTTTTTGAATTATATAGATTCCAAGAAATTTATGTTAGGTACTTGTACTTCATTATAAAAAGTACATTTTAATTTTATTAATTATATTTTTATTCCGACACATACGAATTGCGTCCCTAAATGATATTTTGTCCGAGTTGCGTCCGCGTTTTTTTCACGGCATATCCGAGTTGCGCCCACGGTTAACTCGGGGTATATTTTCAGGGGCCATGGGTTTTTCAGCAACTGAGAATATTGTTTGGTTATAACTCGTAGATAATCTCGATTATCGATATATTATTATCTGTAAATACCACCTTAAATTTATTGTTGGAAATTAGTTTTGTTCATGTTAGCATTAGTCTTACTTCGACATTCCATTTGTTCGATAAATCATCAGCTTTTTATATATTTTTATTAATACTTATTTTACCTTGCAATGGAAAATCTTGAAGTAGTTAAAATGACCAGTGAAAAAAATAAATTATTATATTGTATTAATGGATCCAAATTCGCTTTCCAAAAATTGTTAAACGATAATGTTCAGAGGGGGTCATGTTCTAAGCGTTTATGCAAGTGTTATTTTAAAATGAACGAAAATAATTAAAATAATTTTTAGTGCTTTAAATCATGAACATGGCAAAGACGACGAAAACGTCTTAAATCGTCAAAAAATTAGTAATAAATTAAAGCGTAAAGCTCTAGATGACCCATGTGAAAAGCCATGCAAAATTGTACATCGAGAGTTGTGTAAAAGATCTGTAAGTCAATTTACTAACACAGACATAAACCTTATAAGGAAAAATATTCATTATGCTCGGTCGAGCATAATTCCAAAATTGCCAACAAATTTGGAAGAGAAGCATTTGGCACTAACCAATTTAGGTGAAATAAAAACTATTAAGAGGACGTGATACCCGCATGTGTTGTCTCCGTCTTACAAGTGCGAACCATAGCAAATTTTACGCTCAGCAGAACACGTGTAGCTCCGTTAGTTTAAAAATTAGTGAGAATTGACCTCATAAAATCTAAAGGTAAGATAATTATCTAGTCAACCTCATAGGTTTTTTATTATATTTTAATTTTAACGCGAGTTATGAGTATTTTAAAATTGTAAATTTTTTATACATCTTAAAATACTNTTAAAATACTCATAACTCGCGTTAAAATTAAAATATAATAAAAAGAGCTACGAATTGAAATATGCTGCTAACATTTTGCAAATAGCCGCTAACTTATTTAAAATTTCAAGTCCAAAAATCATACCAATCATTGGTGTTTATACGTAGGTATAGTTTATAGTATAATTTAAAATTATATTATGTAATACACAATTGAAATATACTGCTTACAGAAGTATTTTACAGAATATATCGGGCTACTATTTAATATAAGTTTAATATAGAATAATTGTTTCTTACCCTTATAGTCTTAATACATGGTAATATTACGCAATAAACATAAATTAAAAATTTTTTTTTTTAAATGTATTTATTAATTCTTTTTACTCTATATTTGTAGGAACATAACATGGGTTATTGAATATTATAAGCTCATGGTCATCAAATAAGAGCTCACAATAATTAATAACAATTTTTATTTTGTTTTGCTAATAAATAGATTATGTTTTTAGATCCTCAAATTTTCTTCATTTTAAATTTACTTTATTAATTTTCAGTTATTAAAGTTAGAAATCGTGGTTCATGGTTCTCGTCATTTATTACAAAACGTCAGGTCGATACATCGAAACCATTTTTCGCTACCAGACTGTTTCAGTCCTTTGCGACTTTTTCTCATTTTGGTGCCGGATCCTGGAGTCATGTCACTATAATAGAATTACTGGTAAAAGGAAAATTGAAAAAAATAAAATTGATTTAATTAATTATTGATTCTCATTTCTTTAATTTATCTTGTAACAAACGCTTAATATAAATTTAAAAATAAACCAAAGAAAATTAATCAAAGAAAATTAAAAAACGAAAATTAAAGAAAAAATTAAAGAAAAAAATTAAAGAAAAAATTAAAGAAAAAAATTAAAGAAAAAATTAAAGAAAGAAAATTAAAGAAAAAAATTAAAGAAAGAAAATAAATCAAAGAAAATTAATTAAAGAAAATTAATCAAAAACAATTAATCAAGGTAAATTAATAAAATTAAAAAAATAAGTTAATGGAATGAAATTAATAAAAATAAATATATAAAATAGAATTAGTAAAAATTAATTAATAAAAATTATAAAAATGTTGATAGAATTTAAATTTAAAAATAAAAATGGGAAGGGGATCGTGGCCACCGGCTGGCAAATGATTTTTAAGAATGAAAATAAAAATGTATGAAAAAGTGTGCAATAAAAACAAATATTAAAGACTGCAGTCTACAATATCAGTATTTATAAACGCATAGCTTTATTTACAAGAATTAGATCATGAAACAATGAATATGTGTAAGGCACTAACTGGTTATCAAAATTTAAAAATTATTTTTGAAAAATTGAACTACAGTTAAATAGAAAAAAAATTTGAAGGGGGGCATGGGCGCCCGCAGGCAAATGAATTTTAA